CGGCAGCGGCAGATACATTTTTAACGTAGAATAACAGATTAGTTATGGGGTGTCAAAATAAATAGTCGTATTTGTGTGGCAAACGTACTAGGCTGAATTCGATTACAAAATATTGTAAAACTGGAGACAATGGTGATTAATCATAATAGATTTGTAGAGTGTGGGGTAGGAAAATTGACAAGTCAGTTCAAGGTTATAAAAGGTGTCAGGTGAGTGGCTAGTACAAAGTGGTCTGTAAGACTGCAATGGGAGGTTCATAATGAGATGAATATGTGAAATGAAACAGGTGGAGGCATATATTGAGAAAAGAGATAATATCACTAATAATAAGTCTGGATAGTATAAACGAAAAATTCGATAATATTGAATGTTTGCTTGAAGGGTATAAATTATGACGAATAATAGTAATATTAATAATAATAATCGTAATAATAAGCAAAGGAAAAAAAAAGCCAAGAGGTTTAAGGGGAAGGAGTACTCTTCGTGAGAAGAAGAATCATCAATCCAAGTTTGGCCACTGTAGGAACAGCGTCTGAACGTGTTCTTTTCGGATACAAAGTTCTGGTTTAGTCGATCTTATTGCAACAGCTTCAGCTATGTGTAGAAGACGTTAGCGAACTGTACGTGATAACGACTTCGGAATTCGGTATATAACCCTGAAAGCTGTGTTGACATCGATATGATGTCCAGTAGCGACCAAGTGTGACAGGATTGAGCTTTTTATGCACTTTTAATTCATAATATGCGAATTTTCCACACTATCAAATGGATAATAAAGACATGATATCATAAAATGATAATAATACGAAAAATTATGATCCTGGTGACCTTACAGTGGGCTAGGGTAGACAGAGAGAGCGAATAAGTTTCTTCTGTACACATAGGTCATATCTTTCTCTATTAATCACTATATTCTCAGCTATGGCTAGGAGGCGTAATCGTGTGCCTTTGGGGAGGTAGTTCGGTACTCGATACACAATTGTAAATGATGCATTGTTCGCTATCCACTAGATGAGACAGAATTGCACTACTTAATGATTTGGTTGCTCTTTTCCCAAGCCAAACAGGAATATGTTCACGAGTGCGTAAAGATAAATTCCTTTGGGTAAGACCTATATAACTAGCTCCACAGGAGGAGTTGAATTTATATACACACATTGATGTCGCCACTTTCGGTAATCTATTTTTAATGCAGTGTCAATATCGGTTTGGCTGAGAAACTGACGTGCAGTTTTGCGGCATTAAAAGTTCTTTCAGTTGCTCTCGTTAATCTACGGTTTAACATATCGCGTTTGATTACAGGAATTCATCATGAGCTGACATTAGTTAGAGAAACAATCGAAAACCTGGTTTGAATTGTACATTTAAGTAAAGCTTTTTCTTACTTACTGTGTCTCGCTTAGTTTTATGTGTTGTTTCATAGATATACTTCTTTCCAAAGTTGGTAGGATAGTCGAGTTGAAATGCTCGAACTGTTTTCCTATATTGACTTCTACGATAAAATCCTCTTCAGTGCCTTCCTTTGATATTTAAATACGTAGCCTATTGGATAAGGCTTGTCAACTGAAATAATGAGTGTTGAGTTTGAATCTCGGAAAGAACATTATTACTAACAGGGACTGGATAATATCCATATGATGAGTCCCAAGGAGAACGAAACATGCGCAACGTATTCCACCGTTTAACAATAAAAGATAATCCATTCTGAGTCAATGACTTCGGATGGTACTAAGCATGATTAATTGTTCTCAGTAGTATCACCAATTCTATAAATTGTAAGCAACGCAGTCTGTAGGACTTTCCAAATTACATCATGCTGATTAAAGCAAAAAGCACGGAAATCATGAAATGCGAGGAATGATGAAAACCTCTCATCAGTCCTGTAAATGACTTATCACCTTTGAATCTCATTCTGTATACTTCGAATTGAATAAGTGAATATTACGACAGGACTAGTGCGAAAAATCGTTCCGACAGTGCTAGTACAGTCCAAGTACTTTAACAATCGAATTAGCAGTTCGCCAATCATACATTTCAGGGTGAGAAGTCACTTCAGTTTCATTTGAAAATCTATGTGATTCCGACCACATCATAAGTGGTTTCCTTTGATGGCAAACAACTAAGCAATCAGTATACAACCTCAGAAGTTCCTGCAGTAGTCACCATGTCTAATGGTTTCGTTCAACTGAAAGTTGTATGGAAAACGGAGCAACTAATATCAGATGATTTCCCAAAGAGTAGCCTGGGATTACGTACGCTGTACTACACCAAGACAACACGCTTCTTAATAGGGCCTCTCCACTCAATCCCATTGCTTGGGATTGAACAGTAGTTCGAGCAAGTTGTCTTAATTGTGGACGGGTTTGTAGGCCACTTGCTCCCAACTTAGAAACCCATAATACAGCTGTTCCCAATCAGAGTTTGCACACCCGTCCGCCCAAGCCAATCAGTAAAAATAGTCTGCCTCCCCCTCCAACATCAGATACGTGATGGAACACAGTTCCGAACAACTCGTGACTTCCTCTTCGCTTAACAAACTAAGCCACAGCATCAAGAACCAACCTTAACAATCCTGTGAGACAACTATTTATTTTTTTATTTTTGATTACAGCTTCATGCCACACCGTATTTTCAGTACAAATATGGCATTTTCAGCATGGATATTGGTAGCCCAAATTTTCACAGGCCGACCATAGATATCGGGTGTGCTTCGGCAGGGGATCGAACCTCAGACCATGTGCATGGTCGGCGAGTCATAACCATTGTGCCGCCGACGCACTACGCTATTTTAGCATATAACAAAGCCTAGCAATACATTACCACACCTGATCATACTACTTATTGAAGTATTCCCTCACTACCACGTAATCTACTCGATTTACTGCCCAATTATACCGCATGATGAAACGCACAAGAATTACCACACAAACCCTATTAACCAATTCTACGTATTAACCTACAACGCTATCTAAGAGAATCAGTTCAAAAATAAAAACGAGGGGTAAATAATGAATATATATATATATATATATATATATCGAAACAACAACAGTAGCAGTAATAGTATAGCATTTGGACCACAATTATTCAAGCATCTTCAGTCTCTTCTTCAAATTCGCCCTCCTCCTCGGCCGTTGCATCTTGGTATTGTTGGTACTCACTTACCAGGTCATTCATGTTCGACTCAGCCTCTGTGAATTCCATCTCGTCCATACCCTCACCAGTGTACCAATGCAAGAAAGCTTTACGACGGAACATAGCAGTGAACTGCTCAGACACACGCTTGAACAACTCTTGGATGGCTGTGCTATTCCCAATAAATGTTACTGACATCTTCAATCCACGAGGTGGGATGTCACAAACTGCCGTCTTCACATTGTTCGGAATCCATTCGACAAAGTAACTCGAATTCTTATTCTGCACATTCAACATTTGTTCATCAACCTCTTTCATTGACATCCGACCACGGAAAATAGCAGCCACCGTCAAATAACGTCCATGTCGTGGATCGCATGCCGCCATCATATTCTTAGCATCAAACATCTGCTGTGTCAACTCAGGAACAGTCAACGAACGGTATTGTTGACTACCACGACTTGTCAGTGGTGCAAACCCAGGCATGAAGAAGTGGAGACGTGGGAAGGGAACCATATTCACTGCCAACTTACGCAAATCAGCATTCAGTTGACCTGGGTATCTCAAACACGCGGTCACTCCTGACATTGTTGCACTCACTAGGTGGTTTAAATCGCCATAAGTTGGAGTTGTCAACTTCAGAGTTCGGAAGCAGATGTCGTACAGTGCCTCATTGTCAATACAATAAGTTTCGTCTGTGTTCTCCACCAACTGATGAACAGACAGCGTTGCGTTATACGGCTCCACGACAGTATCGGAGACCTGGAAAGCCACAAATACTCGTATCAACAAACATGAATACTTCAATAATATCCTAAAACACTAACAAACAACACGTTCCCCATTCTACAAAACATCTAGTAGTGAGTCAACACATTATAAGCTATTCAATACGTGATCCCAACTTAAACTAACTCAATTCTAATTCTATGAATATTAACACTACCACTATTAAGTCAAAAATGAACAGTACTTACTTTCGGCGAAGGAACAACTGAAAACGTGCTCATTATCCGATCAGGATACTCTTCACGTATCTTCGAGATTAACAAGGTACCCATACCAGAGCCAGTACCACCACCCAGTGAATGAGTCAACTGGAAGCCTTGGAGACAGTCACATGACTCTGACTCTTTCCTCACCACATCCAACACGGAGTCAACCAACTCAGCTCCCTCCGTATAATGACCCTTCGCCCAATTATTCCCAGCTCCACTCTGACCAAATACGAAGTTATCTGGACGGAATAGTTGTCCGAAAGGTCCAGCACGTACACTGTCCATCGTTCCAGGTTCTAGATCCACTAAAATAGCTCGTGGGACATATCTCCCACCAGATGCTTCATTGTAGTACACATTTATGCGTTCTAGTTGCAGATCAGAGTCACCATGATATGTTCCCGTTGGGTCGATTCCATGTTCATCTGAGATGACTTCCCAAAACTGCACAATTTAAACGTAGACATGGAAAGAGTATTAGTGAATTCACGAATTTGAGTAGAACATCACAATGACAATAAAGTGTATGTGCTTAGACATACCTTGGCACCAATCTGGTTTCCGCACTGACCAGCTTGAATATGGACAATTTCTCTCATGGTAACAGATCGTCCCAATTAGGACGAGCAAGCGCTAAACGAAGACTCTTCGTGAGGCACTTGCAAAGTTGCCAACTAATTTATATTATTTATTCTCCCAATGAAAAGACTTAGTCACTAAGGCTAAAATGATTGGTGGAAAGTTCAAAAGTAGTTTCTGATTGGTGGATGGAAGAAGTTACCTACGGCCTTGAATAAGTCTATTCATTGGGAGAATAAATAATAAAAATTAGTTGGCAACTTTGCAGGTGCCTCACAAAGAGTTACCATGAGAGAAATTGTCCATATTCAAGCTGGTCAGTGTGGAAACCAGATTGGTGCCAAGGTATGTCTAAGCACATACACTTTATTGTCATTGTGATGTTCTACTCAAATTCGTGAATTCACTAATACTCTTTCCATGTCTACGTTTAAATTGTGCAGTTTTGGGAAGTCATCTCAGATGAACATGGAATCGACCCAACGGGAACATATCATGGTGACTCTGATCTGCAACTAGAACGCATCAATGTCTACTACAATGAAGCATCTGGTGGGAGATATGTCCCACGAGCTATTTTAGTGGATCTAGAACCTGGAACAATGGACAGTGTTCGTGCTGGACCTTTCGGACAACTATTCCGTCCAGATAACTTCGTATTTGGTCAGAGTGGAGCTGGGAATAATTGGGCGAAGGGTCATTATACGGAGGGAGCTGAGTTGGTTGACTCCGTGTTGGATGTGGTGAGGAAAGAGTCAGAGTCATGTGACTGTCTCCAAGGCTTCCAGTTGACTCATTCACTGGGTGGTGGTACTGGCTCTGGTATGGGTACCTTGTTAATCTCGAAGATACGTGAAGAGTATCCTGATCGGATAATGAGCACGTTTTCAGTTGTTCCTTCGCCGAAAGTAAGTACTGTTCATTTTTGACTTAATAGTGGTAGTGTTAATATTCATAGAATTAGAATTGAGTTAGTTTAAGTTGGGATCACGTATTGAATAGTTTATAATGTGTTGACTCACTACTAGATGTTTTGTAGAATGGGGAACGTGTTGTTTGTTAGTGTTTTAGGATATTATTGAAGTATTCATGTTTGTTGATACGAGTATTTGTGGCTTTCCAGGTCTCCGATACTGTCGTGGAGCCGTATAACGCAACACTGTCTGTTCATCAGTTGGTGGAGAACACAGACGAAACTTATTGTATTGACAATGAGGCACTGTACGACATCTGCTTCCGAACTCTGAAGTTGACAACTCCAACTTATGGTGATTTAAACCACCTAGTGAGTGCAACAATGTCAGGAGTGACCGCGTGTTTGAGATACCCAGGTCAACTGAATGCTGATTTGCGTAAGTTGGCAGTGAATATGGTTCCCTTCCCACGTCTCCACTTCTTCATGCCTGGGTTTGCACCACTAACAAGCCGTGGTAGTCAGCAATACCGTTCGTTGACTGTTCCTGAGTTGACACAGCAGATGTTTGATGCTAAGAATATGATGGCGGCATGTGATCCGCGACATGGACGTTATTTGACGGTGGCTGCTATTTTCCGTGGTCGGATGTCAATGAAAGAGGTTGATGAACAAATGTTGAATGTGCAGAATAAGAATTCGAGTTACTTTGTCGAGTGGATTCCGAACAACGTGAAGACGGCAGTTTGTGACATCCCACCTCGTGGATTGAAGATGTCAGTAACATTTATTGGGAATAGCACAGCCATCCAAGAGTTGTTCAAGCGTGTGTCTGAGCAGTTCACTGCTATGTTCCGTCGTAAAGCTTTCTTGCATTGGTACACTGGTGAGGGTATGGATGAGATGGAATTCACAGAGGCTGAGTCGAACATGAATGACCTGGTAAGTGAGTACCAACAATACCAAGATGCAACGGCCGAGGAGGAGGGCGAATTTGAAGAAGAGACTGAAGATGCTTGAATAATTGTGGTCCAAATGCTATACTATTACTGCTACTGTTGTTGTTTCGATATATATATATATATATATATATATATATATTCATTATTTACCCCTCGTTCTTATTTTTGAACTGATTCTCTTAGATAGCGTTGTAGGTTAATACGTAGAATTGGTTAATAGGGTTTGTGTGGTAATTCTTGTGCGTTTCATCATGCGGTATAATTGGGTAGTAAATCGAGTAGATTACGTGGTAGTGAGGGAATACTTCAATAAGTAGTATGATCAGGTGTGGTAATGTATTGCTAGGCTTTGTTATATGCTAAAATAGCGTAGTGCGTCGGCGTCACAATGGTTATGACTCGCCGACCATGCACATGGTCTGAGGTTCGATCCCCTGCCGAAGCACACCCGATATCTATGGTCGGCCTGTGAAAATTTGGGCTACCGATATCCATGCTGAAAATGCCATATTTGTACTGAAAATACGGTGTGGCATGAAGCTGTAATCAAAAATAAAAAAATAAATAGTTGTCTCACAGGATTGTTAAGGTTGGTTCTTGATGCTGTGGCTTAGTTTGTTAAGCGAAGAGGAAGTCACGAGTTGTTCGGAACTGTGTTCCATCACGTATCTGATGTTGGAGGGGGAGGCAGACTATTTTTACTGATTGGCTTGGGCGGACGGGTGTGCAAACTCTGATTGGGAACAGCTGTATTATGGGTTTCTAAGTTGGGAGCAAGTGGCCTACAAACCCGTCCACAATTAAGACAACTTGCTCGAACTACTGTTCAATCCCAAGCAATGGGATTGAGTGGAGAGGCCGTATTAAGAAGCGTGTTGTCTTGGTGTAGTACAGCGTACGTAATCCCAGGCTACTCTTTGGGAAATCATCTGATATTAGTTGCTCCGTTTTCCACACAACTTTCAGTTGAACGAAACCATTAGACATGGTGACTACTGCAGGAACTTCTGAGGTTGTATACTGATTGCTTAGTTGTTTGCCATCAAAGGAAACCACTCATGATGTGGTCGGAATCACATAGATTTTCAAATGAAACTGAAGTGACTTCTCACCCTGAAATGTATGATTGGCGAACTGCTAATTCGATTGTTAAAGTACTTGGACTGTACTAGCACTGTCGGAACGATTTTTCGCACTAGTCCTGTCGTAATATTCACTTATTCAATTCGAAGTATACAGAATGAGATTCAAAGGTGATAAGTGATTGACAAGATTAATGAGATTTTGCCAGCTTTTCTCGCATTCTGAATGGAACATCAACCTTTCATTTACAGTAGGATTGTAGTTGTTTCTCGGAGTTTGTGTGTTTCTAGCCCTCCCTCTCTTCCGGGATTACCACCAGTTTGGCCGCGTCTTAGGATTGCATCGGGACGGAAGTCAACTCTTACCTCTGCGTAGTTAGCTGGCAGGCATTCTTCTAGTGAACCACTGACGCATTATAAATTGCCATAAATGCTATCAACCTCAGGTTACGTACGCTAAAATAATAATAATTTGCTTTATTCCAGAAACAGTACTAGTAGTATAGTGTGGAATTTTCAGCACATATCTTCAGTATTCGCATCTTATTTTATCCAACGTTTAAAAGGAGCATTTCAAAAAAATATAAAGACAACAACAGAAAAAAAACACAAAAATAATAGAAATATTCGAAAAAATACCAACAAGTGGAAAGGAAAATAAACAGCATATAATAATTAACTCAGTATTGGGTAGTGGAAGCTATGATATGATTATGCATGGTGACAGTAAAGCTGTAGTTATACAAGAAGATATGAAATGATATTTAAGAATGTTTATCGCCAAGATGATCAGTTAATATGGTTGAAACAACTCTAAACCATCATAAAATAACATTTCAGAGTTGCTGTTTTGTTTTTTATTGTCAGGTCTAATGCAGTGTTTGTGGTGGTAGTGTGAGTAATACTGCATAATACAAAGTTTTAAGGTGGTGACAATGGCTTCCACAACTAATGATCGTCAGTTAATATTGCCGAACAAAAACTAAAAAAATAAGAATAAAAACAACAACCACAAAAACTAATAATTACATGATAGTTAATGACAGGACAATTTTGTAATACTCATAGTGCTAATATAGTCGGAACCAGTAGTTACACAAAAGATGGAATACAGTAAAGTACAATAAAGTAAGCCAATGTTAACAATTTAGGTAGCTAAGTATGTTTAAGAAGGAGTTCACTACAGAATACAAAATGAAAAACCTAAATTTATGTTATTAACAACAAAGCAAGTCATAGGTTTCACGCTTAACATTGTCTCTGTCACTTAGAACACGGGCCAAGTATGGTATCGTTGAGTTCCCGTACTTGGTTGTACGAGCATAGATTATTTATACTTGATGAGATACAAGGCGAGAGTTGGGAATAGAGGGTTGTTGCGGGACGCAAAGTATGGTTTCAGACCATTTTTCTCATGTATTCAGATGCCTTTCAACTAATGTAGTGAGGAGCTGACTGACTTTTACACCACTGGTCCTACTAACTACCTTCAACATCCTTCTCAGGATGGCATAGTCATTTTTCAGTAGCCCAGGAAAGACTAACGAGGAGCAGTAAAGTAGAATAGGTAAGATACGAGAGTTGACAAATTGTGAAAGTAGAGGTTGGGTGATTCCAGATTGTCTAAGTTTCTTAATGTAGTAGGTAAGACAGAACACTTTCTTAGAAATCATTAGGATATGGGATGTCCAAGTAAGGTCGGAAGATAGAACTAGACCGAGGTATTTTGCATTAGACTTAGTTTCAATTTTAGTCCCCTCAATGCAACAGGCTTCATGATAAGATACTAGTGTTTGTAGATCTCGTTTATGCCTAAGGGAGAAGTCAGTAGTCTGGCATTTTGAGGGATTCAGCGTGAGACCATTTAGTTTAGACCACTGACTGGTGTCCGACAGGAAGCTATTTAATTTGAAACAGTCTGACTGAGACTTAATGGGAAACTATACAGACAGGTCATCTGCATATTTATAGAAGAAGTTGATTTCATCTGAAAGAGGTAAATCATGTAGGAAGAAGGAAAAGAGCAACGGGGAGAGACAGCACAACACAGTCGAAAGCAGATGTATAATCAAGGAACGTACAACGGACATACTTGGCCCCTTTGTCTAAGGAGACAAAATAAGAGACATTTCACAAAGGACTGGAAATATGACACAGCTTATACCCCAGTAGGTCAGTTGTGGGTCGGCTAAACTCAGTGGTAAACGTCTCTGACTTTCCCTGGGTGGCGCCGCCTTGAATCCCATAGTGTGGACGGTTATCAGCTCCTACAACGTTTCAGACATGCTTAGCTTATGAGAATACCAACACGCACCAGAGCCTAGTTTCAGGGCTTCCTGCCAGTTTTCTTCAACCATCTAACACACAGATTGATGAATGTTGAATCCATCATATTAGCAGACAAAATACTAGACATATGTCAGCGAAGTAACAAGCAGAAACAGATTGATGATGGGATCAGGGAAAAAGTATATAAGAAGAGGAGAGAGAGACACTTAGGTGAAGAGGTTACTAAGAATGCCCAAGTCTTCAATCACTGTCTTTTAATATATTGAATATGAATACAAAGTACCATTTTTTTCTCAACAAATCAGTCAGTTAAAGATGTCGACAATTCGGCTACAGTGAAACCGAATTCAACCTAATCTGGCGTTCGAATAAACACTAGAATAGTAATGACTGGTTCAGTTCCAACATAGAACTTTGCTCAGAAGTGCAGCAATTCAATTTGTCACATACTGTGTAGCACATAAAGGTAGACAAAAGGGAGAGAGAGAGAGAGAGAGAGAAAGACATTCAAAGGGACTAAACTCAATAGAAATGTAAGGGAGAAGGAATAGTGAGGTGGGAAAAACCCATTACGGTGTGATGGATATGGATGATTACAAAGGGTGAGTGCATCTGGTGCAGATGCCATTGAGAACGACTTTGAGCCATACCACCTCCAGGTACTGGTCCTTAGAGTCTTGATGACCCCAGTCAGACAGCCCACACATCCCTATGTGGTTCATAACAACTGTGAGTGACTTCAAGGATTGATGTCATGTTTTGGTTCGACCATCCCTAAGCCTTTTCTAACCTAGTTCAGTGTCGGCTGACAACGCGCGTTGAGGAAGGCGATGGCTCGCTGTGTACCTGACGTGTCCCAGCCATCTCTATTGATGTAGCTTCACAACCTGATCAACTAACTAACCACTACCAATGGCCATGTGTCACTCATAGCCATTAAGGAAGGCAGAGGGAACTGCTGCACAGTACACTTGTCCTTTGGTCGATAGCTGTTTGTCACCTCGGCGCCTGATATGGCATAATTTGGCAAATTCCACACGAGCCTTTTGTATCCGTGATAAGACTTCGTCAGCAATCACTCCTTTGGAGCTAACGAAACTCCCCAAATAAGTGAAGTGGTCAACACGATTCAACGACCACTTCAATGCTGCCTATCTTCTGTAAGCCAGAAGTGAGTCGATGAAGTCCAGTCATGTAGTATCATCTTGCATATGACAGGAGCGAACCACATGCCAAACAAATGAGGATTTTTGCCCAAAGTGTTCACAAGATTTTGCATTTTACCATATTCTCTACCTAGTAAGACGATTTCATTTATTTACTCTATGTCAACAAGACCATATCCTGATAACAAGTCAATCTCTAAGGCGCTAAAATCAATCAGGGTCCCATCTATTCATTAATACATACATCAATGATGAAATTAAACAAAAATGCAGACAGTGGGCGTCATCAGTTCAGGTGACAACTCTCCATAAGCTCTTACACTACTGCATGAGTTCGAGCAGAGTGCCTTGATTAGTGCGATGTATTTTCTCAGCATTCCCTTCACGGCCAAACATTGCCATAGTAATTCTCAGTCGATGGAGTCGAATTCCGCCTTCAAGTGAAGAAACATGACTATTGTTGGGCACCGGGGTAAGTATGTCAATGTCCGAGAATCTGTCGAAGGGTGAAAATATGTGTCATCACAATACACCCTCTTCTTGGTGTAAAGCCTGTCTCTTTTCTGGGGTTGTTTCTCCCAAATACCAGTTAGTCTGCGGATGATTATTGAAGCTAGAACCTTAGATACTGTATGAGTCAAACTTATCCACCTATGATTATCACGGGAAGACTTGTCTCTCTTCTTGTATACTGGGATATTCGGTTGCTTACACCAGCCTAACGGAACTATCTCTGACTCTCAGACATTGTTTATTACCTTAGTTAACACATTTCATCAGCACCATTCTGTAACACCTAAGGAGTCATTCCACTGGGTTCTGATGCTTTGCCTCGTTTCAGACTAGAGGCAGCTTTTGAAGCCTCAGTTACCGGTGGAGGA